TGCTGCGCTTTGTCTAAAGAATGGAAAGTTTCTTATGGGTTACTTGAGAAAATAGAACCGAGCTAAATTAAGGCAGATATGTGACTTCCAGGATGTGGTCAGAAAGGCTGACAAGCGCACGAGTTTCACAGCGCCTACTCAAACCTCAAGCGGAACACAAATACAGTATAATGTAAATGATTTCAGACGAAAGGCGCATCGAAAACTTCAAAACAACAAGAGAAACATAAATACTTCTCTGGTGGCCAATTCTCTGGGGAAGAATCTGAACACAGGTCCAGACATTCCTGCGCTGACCAATTCAAGGTCACTTTGCCATTTCTGTCATAGATGACTTCCTTTCGTACTAAAATGAACTGGTTAATCAGAACAAACAGCAAGTGATCGCTAAATTTTATATACAAGATGAAATGATTTGCCCCTAGCAGCGAAGAGAACAAGTTTGGTTAGAAAGGTCGCATTTGTTGAAAAGCACACAAACGCACACATCGAAAGAAACTATAATTCCTTTGAGCAGGCCACGTGATGAATGCAGAGACGATATTGGCGGAACTAAGTGAAAAGGCGATAAAGATGTGGTACATACAAGTAATATCGCTGTAGCACTTCATTTTCCACCTCCTACTGCCTCAAACTACTTCTGTAAGCCTCACCGCGTCTCAAAGGCCTTCCTGAAGATGAATGGGCTGATTTGCGAAGCTCGTCCTGTGATCCGCAGCTGTTGGTAACGTATGCAGTCAAAAGGTGCGCTTTTCGATCCGCGTTGCTGGTTAAGTAGCTTTTCGGCAGCAGCAGAGAAAAGTCACGCTCTTCAATAGTCATACCGCACAGGCATCATAAAAAAATAGAAACCGCCTGAATGGTCCCATCAGAGACGCATTAATTATTCGGTCCTACGAAAATGTCGACCGGGAAAAAGGATACAGATTTTGCACAGATTGGATAAGCCTTGTCACGTCTGTTTTTACCAAAACCGTTCGCCAGCAGCATGGGCTGAATGCTCACCCTTTCGTCCCAAACGTTACAGTAGCTGCGGACCGCAGAACAAGTTTCGAAAATCAACCCTGTCCACCTGGCAGAAGGCCCGTGTGACAAACGCCAAAACGTCGGTACTGGCAAATCACCTGATCGACCATAAAAAACAGTTTTGTAGTTTCTCACCGTAACTTGGACGACTGGCAACGTCGTAAGCTCTGAGACTGAAAGATAGTGTCCATTCCGAATGACAATTCACGGTTTCACTAAGGCAGCTGTAAATCTGCTAAGAAAGCATGCTGCTAGCATAATGACTACGTCCGAACATGCGAAATACAGGTTAAGGGTAGGGTGGAGTTGTGGAAAGCTGAACTGACATCTGTTTCCTCAAATTTAAACTCAAAGTTTTTCACATCAACTATAATGGCTCACAACTAGAGGGTTATCGTTTTAAATCTAAGCAGGCAGCACGCCATAACGATTACATTGCAGTCAGATGCTTGAACCTGAAGGGAGCGGGAAAAAGTTTAAACCGACATCCGACATTTTCATGTACCGAGAAACTGAAGGAAATATAGTGGCCTACCGATCGACCTCAGCTGGCAAAATGAAGCATCATTTCACAAGCCAAGGTAATCTGAAAATGAAAAATGGCATGGTTGGGTGTGGGTAAGTATTAGAAGTTGTCAATTCTGAAAATAGCGACAATCAGGTTGTGGTAGGACAGTGACTGACACAGAAATCAGCACTTAGGAACAACAAAAAAAGACAACACAAAAGGCAAAACCCTCACATTTTTTGGTCCCTTTCATGACATATGACACTTCCGCTAAAATGACCACGTCGTCGTCATCGAAGCTGGGACAGTTATCTACTGGCAAGTCTGAAAAAGGAGTAAAATATCGAAGGCAGCAATACGCTATCGCTTTCCGTACTCACCACTTTCAGCAAGTGTTGCGTTCAGCTCTCGGCGATCAGCTGGCCTAAACAGACAGCTGTTTAATTTTTGTCTATCAAATTTATCAAAAATGAAATCCTAGCGAACAAAAATTCACTGTCATCTATAACAACAGCTGGGACAGCTTAATGAGGATTTAGAGCGCAAAATAATTGACGCCCACAGAGTCATGCTGCACAAAAAACACAATTCCATGTTTGGAATAGCAACTTTTTTGATGGGGGGGCACCAGCTGGATACATGTTTACACATCGACCTCGTTAGGGCAGGATTAAAACATACATCGAACAAGAGCAACTTCTGGTGTTCAGTAACTGCCAAGACAAAAGTTGTAAATTAATTATATGTTCATAAATTTCACAAACGTCGTTACTCGTGAAACATGCACGAAAGGAACTAAACATACATCGCAATCGCCTTAGGATAGCCGCCTTCCCTATTTCACAACCTTTGAGCGCTGCACTCAACACACAGTCGAAAACAATCACTTATAATCAACCGTCAACGTTTTTCTATCCTTCAAAACGCCTTACTTTACTTGCAGTCATGTGGCACGTTAGGTTGCTTATTAATTTATGCTAATCTACTAAATGTCAGATCAAAGCTATGGACTGAACGCTAATTGTTTTCGACAAACGCTGCACCCAGAAGCGAAGAACACCTATTGAAAAAAGCATATGCACCTTATTGCAATCTGAAATATGCCTAAATGCTTTAGTACAATTTTTTGAAATCACCATTCACGTTTTTTCAAATAATAGTGAACTCTCTATGTGCCGATTGAGTAACGTGTTTCATAAGCAAATAAAAAAATGATTGACTGGGTAAAATATGGATCTTGTAAAAACATATTCAGCTGAGTTTTGCAAAGCATTACACTGTTGCAGGAAGGAGTTGAAGTAATGCGGTCAGTTTCGAGTACATAAATACGCTTTCGAAATCCCGCACCTTTAAATTATGCTAGTCAATAAGTTATTGCAGTGCCACTCCTTAAAACGTCCCATGTATCCCATGAAAATATCCATGGAAAGTGCTGAAAGTGTACCCTCAAAATAAATAAGATGCTGATCCACCCTCAGCCTGGGAAAACTACACGATAACTCCGTTGCGAATATTTGCTAAACTACTTTGTGGCAAAAATGGAACCATTTGATTATAACTTGCTTGCCAACAATAAATATAATTTTGAGAAGATATCAACAAACTGTTCATAATGGCTGATAAGTAAATCAACCGCTAGAATCTTGGAACAAACTTACAAAGTGAAGCTTTCAGAATGCACAGCACATAACCAATAATTTTCAATTACTGCACATTACTAATTATGCACTAAACAAGCTACGTAATTGTGAGTTCCGAAAGACTTTCTTAATAAATACTTCTTTTGTAGGTTTCTAGACGTTTCTTCATCAAACAATACGCATTCTTTCAGTTAACCGCTCATATACGAATATAGTTACGTTTAGGTTTTGAATAGAAACGTCATATCACATGTGAAAATAAACTGCAACTCCCCGCTGAATTCTTTCGTGGCATGAAACTGTAACTTGCTGGAAGGAAGAAAACGCTGCGACTCAGGGTTGCATATATGAATACATAGCGCCAACCAGGTAAAAAAGGGTTCCTAATCTTTGCACGTAGACACGGAAGCACAAAAACGGGCTTAGAAGCGAAGAACAAACAGTAAGAATGGCGCTGTCGCCATTCATCTAGCAACACAGGGAATAATCAAGCAACGGTGCCCACAAAATTTTCAATTTCTAATCCGTTCGCCTAATGAAACTGCATAACTGGTAACCGGTCGAGGGATAAAAGGCAGACAAAATACGTCAGATCAAAACAGTGATATGGTGAATACTTTACTTTAAATAATAAACAAAAATTTGTTGCTTACAAAACTGGTTGAGTTTCCACTTCATTTTCCGTTTCGCCTTCTGAAAATTCTTGACTTTTCTGATCATATTTCGATGTAATATCTGAAAAATGGATATAGTTAGCACATTCCGATGAATTGACGGATCGATCATCAAATCGATCAGCTGACACGCCGCTAGCGTAATACGATAAAGGCTAGGAGCAAGTTAGTTATGCGAAACGTTTTGAAATAACCAAGTCTGTACCGCATAATAAACAAGTCTTCATTGCCATTGAGCATGCTGGCAAAGCATAGAAACGGTGAAGAATCGCTCTCGTCACAGATTCTTGAGACCGCTTCGTTTGTTTCAGTTCATTCGGTTCTCAAATTTTAAAGTCCTCAATACCTTGCATAAAAATAAGATCGAAATTGCAAGCTTCAGTACAATCATCGTCAACATCACCAACGGGTTTACTCCACATAGTCAAAATATCGACAATTGGCTCGACGCGTTTGGTTATCATAATCCATCCTCAGAGGCAATAACCAATACCAGTTCAACGATGTTAATAAGCTTTCCACTGATAACAAGGCGTTGAATTATTAGTGAGTATGATTTTCTTGATGATCGTTGCATATTAAGTATGGCCCTGAGGCAGCATCGAACGTGGTCCGAAAAATCAGGAAAATTGTCGATTTTTGGACTATGCTGAGAAAGCCTGCTGGGGACTTTGTGATTATGCTAACAGAGAATTATTTTGCCGCAAAAAAACAATCTGTTCATTATTTTAAAACGCAAGACTTGTACTAAGAAAGATACTTCACAATACATGTCACATCTGAAAATTCAGAACTTTTCGCGTCATAAAACTTTGCATATGTTCTGGTAAAGGAATGAAGACAAACCAAGATGCAGCCGGTTAGAAGCAAAGCAAGGGCGCATGCCCTACGGTTTCATGGCGAGGTCTGCACAAGCACAAAACAGTACATGTTGCATGAAGACTGGAATTTACGACGCCCAAGTGGGCGGCGGTTCCGGGCAACAACTCTATTGAAAACTCTATGAACTAGAAAGAACGAAATAGATTTATCTTAATCTGATTTATCACCACAGCCAGCGATGATTGACTTCATCCATGCAAATCACTCGGACGCGCCTACGCGAACGACCGGAGGAATGAAGAGGGTGAAGATGAGGTCAACTAAAACTCATCAGAATGCGCCTACGACACGAAGACCACCGGAAGAGGTGTAGCCAAGGGAAACGATCGATCGCTCGCATCCCTGAAAACGAAGGCGTCCCATAAGGGTGGGCTGATTAAGGGGGGGGGGGTCGAATACGCCCCTGAGACGACCAAAAGAGCCGCCTCCGCATAGTCGATGGATGAAGCTGCCACCTGCGTAACGACCGAATGTGCTTAGCAGCGGTAAATTTTATCCGAAGTGCCTTGCACTCAGCTGGTCAACGCCGGTTGGTCCTCGACGAGGAATACAGGAAGCAGAAATACATAAAAGGACCAACACCGGTTAAGAGAAAGTGACGGAACCGACGACAGAGAATATCGTTGTTGGCAGCTATGTCTTTCTCCCCAGCTACCTGGTCCGGTTGCTGGGCAACACCTAAGGCAACACTGCAATGCCTCCAGCTCATAACTCGTACCTCGGAAAAACTGCAAGATCAGATAAAAGGATTCGAACAGCTGACTGTTTCGAAAAATGGCATGCCGGTACATTCTGAAACCGTTTCCCACGCTGCTCATCCGAGATACGAAATAGACAGACTGCCACCTGTACTGAGAGGGAGACAAATGAAAATCAACGAATCGTCGTAAGCCATGTCTAACAACGTTCTATTACGGTAACCAATGCATGGACTGCCAGTTCGAGTGACAGCGACAACTAAAGCGTCGTCGGCGAACCTGTTCAGAAGGACTGATGAAACAAAGGAGGATGTAACTCAAATGTCCGCATGACCATGACTGTTTCACTTAACATCGGCCAATTTCATTCGCACTTTACCATGACGATGATATCGGTGATCAGCGCGGAAACGAGTGTTTGGCGAATAAGAGATTTTATACCGCTCTTGCAACCATGAATCATTGAAAATAGACCAATAAGCCTTAAGTTTTACGTCAGTAGCTGAATTTTTAAACTGAAAAGAAAACGGTTCATCAGCAATTAATAAATAATTAGTTGTACCATCATTCGCAGACATCAGGTTAACATTCGGGGTCTTCGCATCATCGTGTGTCTGCAAACGAAAGTGCTCGCGATCAGTTTTTACTTCCCTCCGCAGCCCACGAAGCGATTTCTTTTTCTTTTGTCGTTTTTCCTTAAATAATAAAGAGTAATTAGTAGTCACGAGTTTAATGGGTATAAAATGTTAAACGCACATGGGTGAAAATAATAACTACCTTCAAAAGCACTAAAAAACGTGAACAGGGGAAGAAAGGTCACCTCGATATGTAAACTGATGGGCTAAAATGTCAAATGTGGCCAAGACTGCTCTTGTTCCACTTTGTCGTCCTCTTTGAAAGTAATAAAAGGTTTCGAAAATTTTCAGAAACGATGACTCAGAAAATTTCAGGCGTTTTCACTTCGACAAGTTTGCCTCTAAGTAATGCCTCCCAGATTTGAGTATTCCTGGAAAGCGCCTGGAACCGAGCATCGGTCGAAGAAAACAGATGCTTCCAATGCACAATAAGAGTTTTGTAAAAAAGAAACATGAATGCAGCTCAATAACTGGCTCTCATCCTGGTTGGATAAATGTTAGATCAGGTGCGTGGCATAGTGTGCAAAGGGTCAGATTTGAATTACGAAGCAGCCGGATTCGATTCCGACGGACGGCAATCTTCGTCTTAACCACGAATTCCATTTAGCAAAAAATAAACAAGTTTTTTCAGACCGAGGTTGCTCAGTCGGAGGAGCGTCAGACTCAAAACTGAGAGGTTCCATGTTCGAGCCTCATTGGAGTCACTGGTTTTTCTTCCATCAGAGGTTAATAATTGAGTGCTACTCTGTGGGAAAGAAACAGGAGACGACAGAGAATGCTTGCCACATAGCTGCTGCCTACTCTGCCTTGCTGATGGCATGGAAGTGGAGACCACGGAAATCAACGCCCCACCATTAATTTCATTAAGAGCCGGGCGCCGAAATGGCTCAATCATGAAAGTGTACGGTAGACCGAGATTCTAACGGTTAAAAACATTCTTTTTCTTTTTCCTTTGATTTGGTAAAACGGCCAAGAGAATCTTGGATGTGTGCTGGAAACATCTGCTATCTGGGAACGACGATGTGGTTCCAGGCACTTTCCAGAACTACACAAATGTTGGAAACACTGCTGTTGAAGGATAATCCTCATCGGAAGTAAGTTTCCCATATTTGTGTAGTACTGGAAAGTGGCTGTCACAAGAGCGTAGTTTCCAGACAACAGATGTATACAACATATTTCCCTAAGATTTCGCTTAACCGTTTTATCCAACAAAGTTAGACGCCAATCACCGACCTGCTTTCAAGTTTTCCTTCTGCATAACGCGGATTGTCAGCCTCAGTTAATATATACCATCCTGTTCACCGCAAAAATAATTAATATACAGCGGTATTGAAAATAAAATAGGACGGCATAAGTAACAATGCCAAGCCAAGCTACTTCAAAATGTGTACATGACTATTAAGAAGTACACCAGGTATTAAAGAAAAGTATTTAAGAGTTTGTCGAAACAAGCTTGATGACGTTTTAAACGAAGCCATGTTATATCAGAGGTGCAAGTGCACCAACCACTCACATGGAAGATTTAAGACTGCCTGTTTCTTAATCGGCAGAATAAGAAGATTTAGAAATACAGGAAATTACCTTCTTTAGGACTTTCTCTATTGATTCTGCCTCAGCTGTATTCAATATCGTGACAGAGAGCTCAATGGCTACCTCCTGTTGGAAATATCAAAACCATCTGGTAACATAAATTCGTAATTAGTGTCGTGGAATCATCTTCAATTCAGACATTTCCTTTTTTAATAACGTTGTATCCTCAGAATTTTTACATCTGCACTCTCCAAGTCCTCGACTTGGTTTGCCAGGTCTTCAAATGAATCAGCTTCTTCCTCGAAACCCACCTCATTGTATTAGCCACGCCTAAATCACATGCCCACGTGTGATATACAGGAAACGATGCTGGACTCATTGGCTGACAATCCTTCACTACAAAACCTCACCTCATCCGCATCCCCCGATGTCCATACCAATTCACGATCTTCTCTTTCGCCGTTTCTCTCGACGATTTCTGCGTTATCTACAAAACAAAATCCAGTACAAATTGAGTGGAAACATAGCATTCACAGTCTTATCTGTATGAATGCCAATTTCAAGGCCAATCAGAACATTTGCAAAATTTTTAACTGCATCAGAAACAACTTTTTTCAAACTTGCTAGACTGAAGAATGTCCTTCGTTAATTTGTGTTTTGAAATATAAGGGCATTAACGTCGAAGTTTTGGAATAAACTCTGGAGGGACATCTGCAGCCTCCTGACACTTGCGAAACAGAAACTGCAAGGTCGAAAATTAATGGACATCCAGCATCAAGAACAGATATCTAAGTCTGCTATAAACATACAGTTCAAACCGAGAAGCTTGTTCACGTTGAGAGCAAATAATTTTTGTAAAGCCGAGTCAAAAATCTGCGTCATTTTTGCCATGCTCTTCCCGCGATTTTTGTTTTGAATAAAAACAGCTGCAGCTTCAGTATCCATCATAACCGTCACCATGGCCGATGTCAGTTCGATCGAAAGGTCGGCCGGTATTAAATAAAATAAAGGATTTCTTCTTCTTCATCTTCTTCTTCTTCTTCTTCTTGTTCTTGTTCTTCTTCTTCTTTCTTTTTGTAATTCATATCGTTAACTGTGGAAGCACCACAGCGTGACATAGGCATGAGCTTAGGATCCTATTTCAGTTTTCGTGTAGGTGGCAGATATTCTGACTTCATAGCCTACGGCACGAGAAACATTTCTTCATGCTGCCAACCATAGAATCAGAAGATCTACCCCGTTCAAGTAATCTACGGCACGGTCGCGGTATGAGCCTTAGAAATTATCTACCATAAAGGCTATCATACATTTCAGTAGTGAATTTACATTATAACGGCTGATAACGAATTTAGGCATTCTTCTGATTATTACAAACATTATATCATTTCACTACATCATTACGTACAAAACTACGCCTTCAAAGCAGACTGTTTTAATAAACAGGCATTTTCTAAGTGAAAGATTTGTTTCTTCTCAGCGAAGCAAATGCATGGATACAACAAATGAAGTGATAACTGCGACCAACCGCGAAAAATCTATACACTGAATAAATATATAATCTATGATGAACATAATATGGATCTCCAAGGCCTAGTTTATTTCAGAATTATGTGGCAATAACCACAATATATATCTCGGAACGGAAAGTTAGTTAACGCTAAACGTAGTTGTTCTGGAAGCCGTTAGACAAGCCATAAAAACCGCATAAAGCGGTCAAAAGAACTTAAAATTGCAAAAGGTTTCAAGCGGGAGGGAAGAAATCGAAAATTCAAGCAGTACCTAAAAGCCTGAGCTAATTAACAAAAAATTAATATCTTACCAGGATCTCTTCCCTCCATTCGTAGGTGACCTACTACTCTGAAATTTCAAGCAAGCGACTGCTTATAACAAATTACAAATTTTACAGTAAGGTATCTTCGAATCAAGTGCATATCCTTTTTAAGGAAAATATGCATGTCATTATAATATAGTTTCATGTAAATGACTATTTTCGACAAAATAATGAACGAACTGCCAAACTATGCAGCTGCAGGAGTTTCGTTCGTTTTCTTAGCATTACAGAAAAGAAAGTTATTTTTGAATTATTACTAACGGTTGTACTTGAAGGATTTTGTCTTCAACGATTGTCGGAAACCATAATCGCATTGTGGCAGTCTTAAGGTGTCAAATTTTGCGTCTCAAAAAATTTACTAGAAGGGAATTCTGCATTTTGAAAACAGAAACAATATAAAATGAAATATATAAGAAACAAAAATTCCGCAATTAAATGATCCTTTGCAAAAGTTTCGCGCGGTAGCTGCGGAACTACAGAAAATTGACTCGTCTCAGAATCGACAAAAACAACGCAAAACGATTATCTATGGCTGAATGTTTCGATGCACATTTGCAGATCACTTGTGTTGGCCCTCGATTGCGAAAGTTTTAAATTGCCTGGAGGAATAACATCGAATACTAACCAAAAAAATTAGTTTCGGACACGAAACCCAGACGATGAGGTGAACTCGCTGATGGGCTACCAACCTCCGAATTTTGAAAACTATTTCTGGTTATTACAATAGATAGACGATCAAAGCATAAGTTCGACGCTGCGATTAAAAGACAGGTGAGCATCACTGAGACATGAAATCATGCAGCATACTGAGTGAACGCCACTCGTTAAAGATTATAATTTTGAACTTGTGAGAGAGCTATGCGAGGAAAAGGAGAGAAAAATTTGTCACAGTTGGAATGTCAATCTACCTTCACTTTCATGGAGGTGAAGACCTCGATTTCTATGCTGTCAGCCAGCGAGTGCCTTATTTTAAATGAAAAGTCTACAACCATGTGACAAAGACGTATTTTCCTGTTTCCTTCAAACAGAACGGGGCTCATTTATCAACCTTGGAAAAAAGAAGGGCCAGTGACCCAGACCGGGGACCGGGGCTTGAACTCGGGACCTACCGGTTATGAGTTCGACGTTCTACCGACTGAACAACGCCGGTCTGAGGCAATGTGGTGTGTGGTAAATTCCTTGCTCAAGGCAATTCTGAATAAGAAAATACTGTCCGTCGTCGGAATGGAACCCGGCACCTCCAGAGTTTTAAGCAGACCTATTAAACACTAGGAAAATTTCTGCAGGTGTCGCTCTTTCTAAGACGCACGATCGGGCATTGGTTCATGCTGCGGCTAATTCAATCGCCAATTTGCACGTCCAGGTGATCAAGTAGCCGTTTTACATGCAGTTCGAAGTTGTAATTCCGTCACTTAAGATTTAACAGTGAAATGGAGTGTGGTTGCTCTGTGTTCCACCTGTTCTTGGCCAGTAGATTGTGAGCGTCGGCTTTACAAGCCTGTGCTCCATTTGTTGTGCATTTGTAAGATGTGGAAATGTACAAACGTAGCCGCCGTGTTTGAACTGCCGCAGACTATTCGAACGCCAATCCTGCGTCGCTGAACGATCTGCAACGATTGGCTGGCGCAACATTCCGAACATTCCCGGTCGATAACGAAAACTCCGATAATTGGGGCGAAATGAACTCTGGTTCGTGGTGGTTGGCCTTGCGAGAACCAAAACTCCGCCTTCGTAAAATAACCGGCCGGCGCCGGAAAATCAGCGTGCTGCGTTGAATGTATTTTATAGCATACACTCCATTTACGGTGCATTAAACGTTCGCTTATGTCTACAGCGGCACAGCGGAAACCAGATAGCCTATCGGGCCCAGCTGCCACAGACACTATAAACTGCATATTCATTAAGCTTCCTATGAATATTTCGTATTTACGTGAGAGAAGCACATTTGACTTCAGTTTGTTCTATTATTTATAGCAGTCGACTGATATAACTTTAATTAACCGTGAACCTTTTTATATATTTATGAATACTTACGAAGGCTGTTGCCCGGATCAGATATCTAGATAACAACCTATTAAATAACTATCTATTAACCGTATCATTGCGAACAAAATTAGATAACATCTTGATAAACTCTTGGTCATGAGCACTTCGCGATCAGAATAGGCAGAAAGTGTTTGAACACGATATTCACAATGACACAACCAATGGAAAAGAAGAATGTGGACCGGAATTCTTTGAATTCTTTGTAGAATTCACCATTCAGTCTAGCGCAAAGTTGGTGAACAATATGGAATCATACCAACGGTTATTTTTATAATTAAAACGATATATGCAATTTCGTCAAGTGTTAGGCGAACTGATGGAACGTCCAGCAAATTCTTCAATCTAAAGTTAGTACAAGGAAGGGAGGAGTGCTGCTTGGTCTGATTGAAATATTTCTTGACTGGCCAAGAGACTGAAATGTTTCCTATCACTTAAACACAGTGGTATTCTGATGTACGCTGAATTACAAAAAAAAACAAACAAAACGGATGGAAACTCGTAGAAAGAAAACAAATGCCTGTCGGATGCTTGACATCAAAGTTGTTAAGAGAAATACCAGAACATCCGTAGCTTCGGTGCGCATTGGCTGTGGACGGACGACAAGGAAGTTAAGTGGCACTCTGCCTTGGTACTAACAACTAGTGACAAGTTATTCAAGCCCTAAAAGAATAAGCGTGTTGGCAATAGCGCCAAACAGCGAATATACTGGTCTTTTTTTCTGAATATCCTTCTTCTTCTTTTTCCTAGCATGTCCCTTTAACAGGGATCTGCTAATCGAGTCACCATCGTCCACATTGTTTTTGCCGTTGGTTAGATCCTCGGAGACTCCTTGTAGCTTAATGTCGTTCTTCATGATGTCACGCCACCTTTCCTTCGGTCTTCCCTTTTTTCTTCCCTGGCAGTATCAGTGCATGGGTCACATTTCCAGTGTACTCCATTGGTCTTTTTTTCACGTGACCGAACCAAAGGAGCCTGCTTTCGATAAGTTTTTTTGAAATTGGTG